TGGCCCCTGGCAGGAGAAAAGGGGGACATAGATGTTGGCACCCCCAAAAATGCTGAGTTCTTGGCTGGAGCTGGGCTGGGCCAGCATCTCCGGCCCTGGAGAGCAACTTGGAACTGGGGAACTGGAAAGCTGCCCTTCCAGACTCTGTTCCTACTTCGGCTTTGTCTCATCCCTACTTGTCCGGCCATGGGTTGCCCCATGGCTGCCCCATTGTCCCAGCTCGGCGGACCCCACCCCCACACTTACCGAGGAAATCATCGGCTGAGAAGTGGTCGGCATCCCAGACCTGCAAGGTGAGGCGAGCTGGGATCTTGTACTCAGTCTCATCCCAGGAAAACATGGATTCTTTCTTGGAGATGACGATCTTCTCCTCTGCCATCAGGTAGTCAAAGGGGAAGATGTAGCGCCAGTTGAAGTTGCCTTCACCAGTGAGCGAGTGGTAATGGACGTCCGTGTCTTGCTTGTCCTCCTGCTGACCCTTCAGCCACCTGCACGTCCCGGAGGGGTGAGAGGGGGGACACATATTACGGGGGGGAGGAGAGGGCACAGGACCATCCTGTCGTGCAGCCTGAGTGTCTCCAGGACAGACTGGAAGGACCTAAAAGGCTGGGGCTGCTCAAATCACCGCAGCAGCATCTCCAAGGGGGAGAAGGTGGGAGGGCCCTGGAGGGAACAGGGGGAGATGAAGTTGGGGGGCTGAAGAGCAAGAAATGCAAATGGTTGGGGAAGGAGTTGTTGAAGAGGTGGACAGGAGCAAGGAGTGTTGCTAGGGAGCCTGAAGGAGACCATGCTGGAAGGATGTCCCCATCTCACACTGGTGGGGTGGACAGGTCTGGGGGAGGCTGGAGAGACCTTCTCACTCCCCTGGGGAAGCTATTCCCCCGACAGCAGCTCTCCGTGTGGAGGCAGCTGGATCTGTGCTGGTCACCGCAGGCTCCCTGGTCAGGGCACGTGTACCTGAGGCCATCAGAGGAATTTAGGGCTCTGCTTGAGGGTGGGGTTGTCTCTGATGACTCCAGCAAAGGGACCTGACGGGCACTGTGTCACTGGGGACACTGGCGTCCCAGTCCTCCTACCCCGGGAGACGAGGTGGCGCCCTGGGATGCCCCACGAGACACCCACCTTACCATCGCATGTGCCACCCCATTTCCCAGCTCCCAGTGAGCAGGATTCCCAGAGCAAAAGGGACAAGGAGGATGGTCCCTATCAGCCTGGGAACACTTTTAAAGACCATGAGTGCCCCCAGCCCCTTTCTCTGATGAGCCAAGGCATCTCCATTCTCCAGGATGCTCTCAGGATCCGTTTGCCCTGAGGAGCTGCAGCCAAGGGGGACACGAGTCCATGCTCAGGCACCCAATTCAGGGTTATTCACTCGGGCTCTGATGCCCTGTAGGATGATCCCCTCCCATACGGATGGGGAAGGGCTGGAGCATTTCAGATGGAGAGCCACTGCAGAAAAGCCGCAGGGCTGGTAGGGCCCGAGATGCCAAAACAGACCCTGTTTTTGGAGAGTGGCACAAGGTGCCAGTGGAGGAGATGCTCCAAACCCCAAACCGGGCACCCCAGTGAGCACAAGAGGAGGGGACACTGGCATGCCACGCTGTACCTACCCCCGGACAAAAATGTCACTGGATTTCTCGCCGGTGAAGTAGTCATCGTCCTCCAGGATGACCTCGTCTGTGTTCCACACTATCACTCTGAGCTCGTATCTGCCAGGAGGAAGGGAGACAAGGAGGTGAGGCGTGGGGGGAACGGGGTGACGCTGCTACAAACTGGGGCCAGGCACTGGGACGGCAGGGAATTGCTCACAGGGAGCTAATCTGAGGGATCGGGAGGACAGGAACAGGAGAGGGATCTGCACACGAGCTCAGACCAGCCCGGGCAGGGGGGGCAGATCAGCGAGGAGAGCTTTATCTCTGCCCTGACCCCTGCAAGCCCCCAGCCAAAGGCTCGCAGGAACAACCCTGGCTTGGCCTTTGGCTGATTTGGTTGATTTTGTTCAGCCTGGAGAAGAGGAGGCTCCGAGGAGACCTCATTGCAGCTTTCCAGTACCTGAAGGGGCTACGAGGGTGCTGGGAGAGGACTTTTTACAAGGGCCTGTAGTGACAGGACAAGGGGTAATGGGTACAAATTGAAAACAGGGAGGTTTAGATTAGATATCAGGAAGAAATTCTTCACGGAGAGGGTGGTGAGGCACTGGAACAGGTTGCCCAGAGAAGCTGTGGATGCCCCATCCCTGGGAGTGTCCAAGGCCAGGCTGGATGAGGCTTGGAGCAACCTGGTCTAGTGGAAGGTGTCCCTGCCCATGGCAGGGGGGGTGGAACTAGATGATCTTTAAGGTCCCTTCCAACCCAAACCATTCTGTGATTCTATGATTCTGTGATTTGCGGCTACAGTGGGGTCTGCGAAGCAGTCTGAGCCCAGGTCTCCATCTGGTTCCTCCCCCTTACTCAGTGGGGCTGCCCTCCCCTAGAAATGGAGGGGACTTGCTGCTGCCTTCAGAAGTGATCCCTGCTCCCATGTCCCATCTCAGTCCTCCTTAGGGCTGCAGCGGGCTCAGAGACTCCAAGCTTTCCCAGCACTGCCTTTTGTGTGCGGCAACCAGGGGTTTCCCAGGCACACTGGGCTTGGTTGGGAATTTTGGTGATGGAGAAAGCATCTGTCTTCTCCAGGGCTGTGCCTCTCCAGCACCAGCAACTGGTGATTCCTGGTGCTCCCAGCAAAGACAGGGGAGCTGGATGAAACCTCTGGGGTGATAGCTTGAAACAGTAGTGACGGGACAAGGGGTAATGGGTTTAAACGGAAAGAGGGAGATGGAGGTGGGACATCAGGAAGGAATTCTTCCTGCAGAGGGTGGGGAGCACTGCGACAGGTTGCCCAGAGGAGCTGTGGATGCCCCATCCCTGGAAGTGTCCAAGGCCAGGCTGGATGAGGCTTGGAGCAACCTGGTCTAGTGGAAGGTGTCCCTGCCCATGGCAGGGGGTGGCACTGAGTGAGCTTTAAGTTCTCTTTCAACCCAAACCATTCTGGGATTCCATGATTTGCAAACCCTCTCTTCAGCCAATCAGTAGGAACATCCCAGCTCCAGCTTGTGGATCACTGCTGAGCTTGGCTGTCCTGGGTTCCACTGGAGACCACCCTCTGCTTTCCCAGTCCGTGCTGGTGCCTGGACCTTGTCCTTGGCCTCAACTGTCCTTCAGCTGCCTCCCGTCGTGTTCAGACCCCATCTGCTGCCCACTGGGGTCAAGGGACGTTCTCTCCATCCGAGGCATCGTCTGCTGGGCGGGAGTGCAAGAGACTCTTCCCAGGATGCCCAGTGCTGTTCCTCCAGCCCAGCCTGGGTGTGGGAAAAGGGGTCCAAGGACACAGGTAGCAGGGTAAGGCAGGACTAGCAGGGATGCTGAGGGAAGAAATGTCTTTTCTCTCTAACTGCGTTGGGAGAGAGCGGGGGAGGAGGGAAAAACTCTATTACACTGCCTGTTGCCTGCTCTGTCCTGCTTGGATTGACCAATCCTGTCCCAGTAACCTTCTCTTCCCTGGGCTCTGGCCACGCTGGGCAACCATCCCCTCCTGGAAACAACCCATCCAAACTGCCCAGGGATGCCTCACCCTGGGATAACCCTGCCCCTGCCTGGGCTGGGTAACAGTCTGATGTCCTAGTCTACACAGACAAGAGATGGAGAGCTGCAGGGGATGGAAAAGGTGGGATACCACCCTTCGGCTGCAGCTCTTGAAGGGGAAGACATCACTCGATGCCCTGAGTCTTGGGGTCTCTGGAAATGACAGCACGGTTGAGCCATCCAGGCAGAAGGCTGGGCAGGCCATGGAGAGCCAGGAGAAGGGAGAAGCAGGGCTCCATCCCCAGCCTCGAGCTTCCCCTGGGGCGGGTTGGCTGGGAGGTTCCTTACTTCTTTGGTTTCCTGGGGGAAATGTCAGTGGCAGGACCGGGCGCCGGCATGTCCATGGGGAACATGTCCACCCACATCTCCAGGCGACCCTGCAAGGTTGGAGAGTTGCAATCAGCTCCCCTTGTCCCTCCTTGCCCACCTCCCTCTCCTCCCCAGGCGGTGTCCCCACCCTCAGCTCCTCTTGCCCTTCAACATCTGGCTAAGCCAGATGTGGGGCAGGGCCTGCAGCCCCAAACCCTGCCAGGTGTGGGGCAAGGCAGGGATTTGCCCCTGCCACAAGTCCTTTTTCACGTCCCGCAGAAGTGTCTCCTGGCACGGCGGGGTGCTGAGGTGCCCCAGTGTGGGGGAGCCAGGGGACCAAGAGACATGGGGGTGTGAGATGGATGCAGGCTGGAGCAGGAGGGTCACTAAAAATTCAGCCTGCTCAGGGCTGTTGATGCCCAAATGCCACTCTACAGGGTACGTCCCCCCCTGCTCTGCTCCCCCCAGCAAGGTGGGCTACGGCCGGTCTGCCCAGCCAACATCTCCTTGCTCGGAAGCTCTGCAGCGTGAGCCGCTCCCACTCCTGCC